TTTCTCTGATGATTACTGATGTTGAGCATTTCTTCATATGTCTTTTGGCCATTTGTATGTCCTGTTTGGAGAGGTGTCTATTCAGCTCCTCTGCCCATTTTTTGATTGGGTTTTTTGTCTTCCTTTTGTTGACTTGTATGAGCACTCTATATATATTGGAAATTAACCCCTTATCTGATACATCATTGGCAGTGATGTTCTCCCATACAGTGGGTTGCCTTTCCATTTTGATGATTGTTTCTTTTGCTGTGCAGAAGCTTTTTAGTTTGATGTAGTCCCATGTATTCATTTTTTCCTTTGTTTCTGTTGCTTTAGGTGATGTATCAGTGAAAATTCTGCTCCGTATGATGTCCGAAATTTTGTTGCCTACATTTTCTTCTAGAATTTTTATGGATTCATGGGTCACATTTAAGTCTTTTATCCATTTTGAGTTTATTTTTGTGTATGGTGTAAGTTGATGGTCTAGTTTCATTTTTTTGCATGTAGCTGTCCAATTTTCCCAACACCATTTATTAAAAAGGCTGTCTTTATTCCACTGTATGCTCTTGCCACCTTTGTCAAATATCAATTGAGCGTATTGCCTTGGGTCCATTTCTGGGTTTTCAGTTCTGTTCCACTGGTCTATATGCCTGTTCTTGTGCCAGTACCAGGCTGTTTTGGTTACAGTTGCTTTGTAGTATAACCTGATATCTGGTATTGTGATCCCACCTACTTTGTTCTTCTTTTTCAAGATTGCTGTGGCTATTCGGGGTCTTTTTTGGTTCCATATGAACTTTTGAAGTATTTGTTGTAGTTCTATGAAATATGTTGTTGGTATTTTGATGGGGATTGCATTGAATCTATAGATTGCTTTGGGTAGTATGGACATTTTAATGATGTTAATTCTTCCAATCCATGAACAGGGTATGTGCTTCCACTTTTTTATATCTTCCTCGATTTCTTTTTTCAATTACCTGTAGTTTTATGCAAATAGGTCCTTTACTTCTTTGGTTAAGTTTATTCCTAGGTATCTTAATTTTTTTTTTTTAATCCTCACCCGAGGATATTTTTTCCATTTTTTGTACAGATAGAGTGGGAGGGAGAGAGAGGAAGGGAGAGAGAGTGAGAAACATCGACGTGAAGGGACACATCGAGTGGCTGCCACCCGCACGACCAACCAGGGCCGGGGACAAACTGCAACCGAAGTATGTGCCCTTAGTGGGAACCGAACCCAGGTCTCTCCGGACCGCAGGCTGACGCTCTAACCGCTGAGCCAAACTGGCCAGGGCGGTATCTTAATTTTTTTGGTGTGATGGTAAATGGGATTGTTTTTTCAGTTTCTCTTTCTGTGAGTTCATCATTGGTGTACAAGAATGCCGTCGATTTCTTGACGTTAATTTTGTATCCTGCTACTTTGCCAAATACATTTATTAAGTCTAGTAGATTTTTGATGGAGTCTTTAGGGTTTTCTATGTATAATATCATGTCATCTGAAAATAATGACAGTTTCACTTCCTCCTTTCCAATTTGGATCCCTTTTATTTTTCCTTCATGTCTGATTGCTGTGGCTAAGACTTCCAGTACAATGTTAAATAAGAGTGGCGAAAGTGGACATCCCTGTCTTGTTCCTGTTCTTAATGGAAATGTTTTTAGTTTCTGTCCACTGAGTATTATGTTGGCTGTAGGTCTTTCATATATGGCCTTTATTATGTCTAGATATGATCCCTCTATTCCTACATTGCTGAGCATTTTTATCAGAAATGGATGCTGGATTTTGTCGAATGCTTTTTCAGCATCTATTGATATAATCATGTGGTTTTTATTCTTCATTTTGTTTATGTGGTATATCATGTTTATTGATTTGCGAATATTGTACCAGCCTTGCATTCCTGGAATGAATCCCACTTGGTCATGGTGAATAATTTTTTTGATGTATTTCTGGATCCGATTTGCTAATATTTTGCTCAGGATTTTGGCGTCTATGTTCATCAGGGATATTGGCCTGTAGTTTTCTTTCTTCATAGTGTCTTTTTCTGGTTTTGGAATTAGAATTATGCTGGCCTCATACAACGAGTTTGGAAGTCTTCCTTCTTCTTGAATTTTTTGAAATAGTTTGAGGAGAATGGGTGTTAGTTCTTTTTTGAATGTTCGGTAAAACTCCCCCGTGAAGCCATAGAAATCTTGCTGGGAGAGTCTTGATTACCTCTTCAATTTCCTTAGTTGTTATTGGTCTGTTCAAGTTTTCTATCTCTTCCGGGTCTAGTTTTGGGAGACTGTGTGTTTCTAGAAATTTGTCCATTTCGCTTAGATTGTCGAATTTGTTGCCATATAGTTGTTCATAGTAGTTGTTAACGATCTTTTGTATTTCCGTGGTATTGGTTGTTACTTCTCCTCTTTCATTTCTGATTTTGTGTATTTGGGTTCTCTCTCTTTGTTTCTTGGTGAGTCTCGCTAAGGGTCCGTCAATCTTGTTTATCTTTTCGAAAAACCAGCTCTCTGTTTCATTGATCCTTTGAATTGTTTTTTTGGTCTCTATGTCATTTATTTCTGCTCTGATCTTTACTATTTCCTTCCTTCTACTTGCTCTGGGGTTTTCTTTTTGTTTGCTTTCTAATTCTTTAAGTTGTGAGGTTAGACAGTCAATTAGAAATTTTTCTTGTTTCTTGAGGTAGGCCTGTAGTGCTATGAACTTCCCTCTCAAAACTGCTTTCGCTGCATCCCACAGATTTTGTGTTGTTGTGTGTTCATTTTCATTGGTTTCCAGGAAGTTTTTAATTTCTTCCTTGATCTCCTCAGTGACCCATTCATTGTTTAATAACATGCTATTTAGCCTCCATGTGTTGAAATGTCTTTGCATGTTCTTGTTGCAATTGATTTCTAGTTTCATGCCATAGTGATCTGAGAAGATGTTTGATATGATTTCAATCTTCTTGAACTTGTAGAGATTTAGTTTGTATCCTGCCATGTGGTCTATCTTTGAGAATGTCCCATGTGCACTTGAGAAGAATGTGTGTTCTGTAGTTTTGGGGTGTAATTCTCTGTAGATATCTATTAAATCCATTTGGTCTAGTGCTTCATTTAGAGTCTCTGTTTCCTTGCTAATTTTTTGCCTAGAGGATCTATCCAGTGCTGTCAATGGGGTGTTGAAGTCCCCTGCTATGATTGTATTGTTGTCGATTTCTCCTTGGAAGTCCTCCAGAAGATTTTTAATATATTTTGGTGCTCCTATATTGGGTGCATATATGTTTATCAAGGTTATATCTTCCTGTTGGATAGATCCTTTCAATATTATGTAGTGGCCTTCTTTGTCTCTAGTTATGGTCTTCATTTTGAAATCGATTTTATCAGATATGAGAATTGCTACCCCAGCTTTTTTTTGCTTTCCATTTGCTTGGAAAATTTTTTTCCATCCCTTCACTTTCAACCTATGTGAGTCTTTTGTTGTGAGGTGGGTCTCTTGTAAACAACATATATGTGAGTCATGCTTTCTTATCCAATCAGCTACTCTGTGTCTTTTTATGGGAGCATTCAACAGAATTTGATTACTTTTTAAAGCTGAATAGCTTTCGATTGTAAATACCACATTTTTAAGATCCATTCAACTGCTGCCTGGCTGGTGTGGCTCAGTGGATTGAAAGTCATCCCATGGACTGAGAGGTCCTGATTTGATTCCCAGTCAGGGCACATGCCCTGGTTTCAGGGTTGATCTCCAGTATGGAGTGTGCAGGAGGCAGTTGATCGATGTTTCTCTCTCACATTGATGTTTCTATCTCTCCCTTCCTCTCTCTCTAAAAAATAAATAAAAACATATTTTTTAAAAATCCATTCAACTGCTGATGGACTTAAGGGTTGTTTCCATCTTTTGGCTATTGTAAATAATACTGCTATGAACATTGGTGTACAAGTTTCTGTTTGAATCTCTGCTCTCAATTCTTTTGAGTATAAACCTACAAGTGGAATTGCTGGATAATATGGTGATTGTTTCACTTTTTGAGGAACTGCCATACTGTTTCCACAGCAGCTGCACCATTTTACATTCCCATCAGTAGTGGTTTTATTTATTCACTTATTTATTTATTTTTAATATATTAGAGAGACAGAGAAAGGGAGAGGGAGAGAGAGATGGAAACATCAATGAGAGAGCATCAATTGGCCACCTCCTGCATGCCCCACACTGGGGATCAGGCCCACAATCTGGGCATGTGCCCTGACTGGGAATCTAACCGGCGACCTCATAGTGCATGGGTCAATGCTCAACCACTGCCATCAGTAGTGGTTTTAATTTTTCCACATCCTCACCAATGCTTATTTTCCATTTTTTAATAGCCATCCCAATGGGTGTGAAGTGTAAACATTAAATTTTGAATTGACTTTGAAGATCACTTACACATGAAGTTAATTCAAGAAATTTTTTTGAGGTGCTGTTATGTAGAAAGCATTCCACTTTGAGGGAATAACAAGGATGAATAAAATATATTGTTGACTCAGTAGGTGATTTACAATATTTTTCTCCTGCAACTGTATTTGGGAATAAGTATGTCAACTTACATTTTCACTGGGTGGTTGGAAAAACTACTCCAGAGACTTTACACCAGATTTATAAAAAATTGGTAGTGGAGCCCTGACCGATTTGGCTCAGCGGTTAGAGCGTCGGCCTGTGGACCAGAGAGACCCGGGTTTGGTTCCCGCTAAGGGCACATACCTTGGTTGCAGTTTGTCCCTGGCCCTGGTTGGGTGGTGCGGGTGGCAACCACTCAATGTGTCCCTTTCATGTTGATGTTTCTCTCTCTCTCTCTCTCTCTCTCTCTCTCTCTCTCCCACTCTATCTGAACAAAGAATGGAAAAATGTCCTCGGGGAGGATAAAACAAAAATTAGTAGTGGAGATCAAAAGGTTTATTAAACTAATTTTCCAAAGAATATAGTCAAATGCTAATTATATTGTTTTTCTTTGGAAAATTCATAATAAGAATTGTCAGGCAAGGTCTCTAATTGATTTCTTTTTTTTTTTTCCTTTTTGCAGGTTAGACTTAAAAGAATCCTAACACATTATGGCCATTGCTCAGCTCTCTCACTCCATCAGAATTCACAAGGCATCTAAGGTATTTAGTAAGAATTAAGGGTGCTTGCCTTGGCCAGTTTGACTCAGCGGTTAGAGCGTTGGCCCACAGACTGATGAGTTGTGGGTTCAATTCTGGTCAAGGGCACCTGCCTCGGTTGTGGTTTGTCCCTGGCCCTGGTCAGGGTCATGCAAGAGGCAACCAGTTGATGTGTCCTTCTCACATCGATGTTTCTCTCTCTCTCTCTCTCTCTCTTTCCCCCTCCCACTCTATCTGAACAAAAATGGAAAAATGTCCTCATGTGAGGATTAAAAAAAAAAAATTAAGGCTGCTCTCTCTGTGCAGTAGCCTACACTCTGTCTCACTGTTTCACTAATAAACTCTATTTTACTTTAAAACAATGATGACTATTTAGTGAGTTAGTTCAGAATCATGACTTTAATCTTTGGCATTTTTAAAAAACAGCAGTTTTATCAATTAATTGGCACAAAATTTCTGGCAGAGTATGTCTACATTTAAACTGTAATGGACTGAGGATGTTCAGAAAATTAGAATAGATTCCTACAAAATAACTTACTGGGTGCTTGTTTCATACTAATATATTTAGATTTTCTAGGGTAAAAGCAATCAGAAACAGAAAAAGATGTTTAAAGAGAATGGTTCTTTGTTAGACATTCACTTCCTGAAACAATTAGGAAACTTCTGATGTACAACATGATGTTGTAAGAAATGAAGGAGAGAACAATGAGAAAAACTTGTATGCTGGGACTTGTGGGGGAGCATGCCAGGGCTAGGCAAACTTGCTGGTTTATCTTGGCAAGTTTATCTTGTCCCATGACATTCATTAATGAATCTATGTATTCACTGAGAGCTCAATATTATATAATATATATATAATACTGTGTTATCCTCTGAAAGAATAAAAAAAGAATCTTCAACCTGGCTGGGTGGCTCAGTTGGTTGAAGAGTCATCCTGTACACTAAAAGGTTGTGGATTTGATCACAGGTCAGGGCACATACCTAGGTTGCAGGTTCGATCCCTGGTTGGGGTATGTGCAGGAGGCAGCTGATTGTTAATTCTCTCTCGCAGTAATGTTTCTCTCTTCCTCTCTCTCTAAAAATCAATAAAAACATATCCTCAGGTAAGGTTTTTTTAAAAAAAAGAATCTTCATCTTTCAGAAGTGTATAATCTGATAAAATTGAGACATGTAGGTAAGTCAGTATATAAAGTAGTATATGCATTACACATATGTGAAAAAGTAAAGCAATACAAATTATAAGAATTTATAGATTTTCATATGGACTGGGATAGTTTGTATATTCTTCCTGTAGGAGATGGGACTTAAGGTGAATCGTGAATGATGAAAATGATTTGGATAGAGGAGAGAAAAGAGAATTCCATGAGGAAAACCTATCATATCCCTTGGCTCAGCATAAGAAATGAGCATGGCATGTTTCAGAGAATAACAAAGAACCATCCTCACTGGATTGGAGTGTCATCCTGTTGAACAGAAATAGGAAATAAAATTGAATAGGAACTTTGGGATAAAATAATATGGATCTTAATGGCCAGGCTAAGGAATGTATGCTTTACTCTGCAATCAATAAAAAGTCAGTGGGTTTGATCAAGAGAGTGTATAAAATAATTGTTTCAGGAATATTAAGCTGTATGAATATTAAGAAGTATGAAATATTGAAGTTGAAGGAGAATTAGGTCAGAGAGAAAGTAGTCATCTTTCTTACTTGACTTCAGTATACTCACCAAGCTCCTGATATCATTGTTTTCTTATTTTAAAAAACATTTTTTTTTCTTTATTGATTTTAGAGAGAGAGGAAGGAATAAGGAGAGAGAACTAGGAACATCGATGAGAGAGAACATTGATTGGCTGCCTCCTGCATGCCCCACACTGGGGATTAAGCCCACAACCTGGGCATGTGCCCTGACCAGGAACCGAACTGGCAACTTCTTGGTGCATGGTTGATGCTCAACCACTGAGCCACACTGGCCGCACACAATTTAGTTTTCTAAGTGTACTTCCTTCCTGGGGCGAAAATGGTGAGCTGGGTATGTAAATTGCAATCATCTTGGCAGTTATTTTTCTCACTGCAGCTTAACAAGTTGACCTTTTGTTATAAAGAGATCTTTGTAATTTAGACAGCATGAGCTACTTCTCCTAGTAAATTTTAAGTGACTGATTTTGCTTTTTAATACTGAAAACAACAATAATAATAACTACAGAAGCTAACATTTATTCATCACTTACTGTGTGCTGGGTACTGTGCCAAGGGAATTATATTATTATTTCAATTAAACCTTGCAGTAGGGAAGAAACTGAAGCTCAGAGAAATAAAGTAACTTGCCTTAGGTCATGTAAGTTAACAGCTAAACTGTCAAACACCACTTATGTCATTAGCATACTATCTTATGAAAATAATTTATAATAGTGTTGTTTTATTATCAGCCCATAGTATTTTCATGTATTAGACATTTGCAAAAACAACAATAACCGCCCTGGCTGGTTTGGTTCAGCTGTTAGAGCATTGGCCCGCGGACCAGAGAGTCCCAGGTTTGGTTCCTGCTAAGGGCATGTACCTCCGTTGCAGTTTGTCCCCAGCCCCGGTTGTGATTGTGTGGGTGGCAACCACTCGATGTGTCTCTCACATCGATGTTTCTCTCTCTCTCCTCCCTCTCTCCCTCCCACTCTATCTGAAGATAAATGCAGAAATGTCCTCGGGTGAGGATAAAAAAAATAAAACATATATATATTAGAAAAAAAACAATAACCCTTAAAGTACTAGTCCAGCTGAGCTGAGGAAAAATATCCCTGGAGTATAGAGAAGTAACAGGACTCTGGAGACATTTTTTAATTGTTGATCTTTGTTACTACAAATAGGTTTTTAGATTCTATATTTAAAGTAAACATCTTTATACTTGCAGGTTATTTAATTTTACAAATGATTGTTACTCAAGTATTGCCTATAAGTTTTGGCAAGTTTTCAATAAATTATACATGCATGCCATGCTCTGACTATTAACCAATTACCTGAAAGAAACTTAATTTTTTAGGATCTAGGGTACAAAGATAAAAGAGCAATTTTTTGTAAAATTTTGTACACATACATGCACACTCACACCACATACACACCTCATTCTCTTTCAGCTTCAGTATTTCTTACTTCTACTATATATTCTGCTTAATATTCCTAAAACAATTATTTTATTTACTCACCTGATCAAACTTGCTGACTTTCCATTGATTGCAGAATAAAGCATACATTCCTTAGCCTGGCTTTTAAGATCCATATTAATTTCTCCTCAAAGTTCTTATCATACATGCAAGAGTAATAATTTTATTATATACCTTTTTGACAACTGAATATTATCAGGTTTGACAAAAAGGATGAACTCATCATTCATTGCAACTATATAGTGTACCAAAGAAGCAAGCTTGTATAGAAAAATCATGTCTAGAATTCAAGAACCAGATCTAGATATAAAAAAGCTTTTGGGGAGTTGGTTTTACTCTAAAGTCATATTTAAGTAGCAGAATTATTAAAACTTCAATAGTTGAAACTTTTAGTAGACTAAAATAACACTGAATTTGAGTAAGGTAATCAAAGACTTACCATCCTGACTTCTAAAACATCGATTACTTTCACCTGCTTTTGTATTTTAAATAAATGAAATCATACAGTAGTACTTATTTGTATCTGGTTTATTTTTTTTTCAGGTTTATGTATGAGAGTCATCTATATTTTTAAGTATAGTTGTAGATCGTTCATTCTCATTGCTGAATGGTATTCCATTGGGAAATATCACAATTTGTTTATCCATTCTCTTGTTGCTAGACATTTGGATAGTTTCCAATTTGAGACTATTGTGAACAGTGCTATTATGAACATTCTTTTGGTGAGCATATGAACACAGATCTGTCAAGTATATACCTACGAGTGGAATAGGGTTATACGATCTGTGTATATTTAGCTTTAGTAGATACCACTAAGCAATTTTCCAAAGAAGTTGTACCCATTTACTTTTTTTTTTTTAATCCACACCCGAGGACATTTTTCCATATTTTGTTCAGATAGAGTGGGAGGGAGAGAGAGAGAGAGAAACATCGACGTGAAAGGGACACATCGAGTGGTTGCCACCTGCATGACCCAACTAAGGCCAGGGACAAACTGCAACTGAGGTACGTGCCCTTAGTGGGAACTGAACCCGGGTCTCTCTGGACCACAGGCCAATGCTCTAACCGCTGAGCCAAACCGGCCAGGGCAAGGTTGTACCCATTTACACTCCTACAACGAATGTTTTTAAATCTTTAATTGATCTTCATCCTTGTCAAAATTTTTTTTTAAGTTCTCACCCGAGGATATTTTACCATTGATTTTTAGACAAAGTGGAAGGGAGGGGTGGGAAGAGAGAGAGAGAAACATCCATGTGAGAGAGATATCGACTGGTTGCCTCCTGCAAGACCCCAACCAGGTCTGGGTATTGAACCTGCAACCCAGGTACGTGCTCTTGATCAGCAATCAAACCCGAGACCCTTCAGTCTGCCGGCTGATGCTCTAACTGCTGAGCCAGACAGGCCAATGCAGTATTTTTTTTTTATTCTAAAATTTTTTAGCCATTTTGGTGGGTGTATAGTGTTATCTTATTGTAATTTTAATGTGAAGTTTGAGCACTTTTTCATTGTTTATTGGCCATTTGGATATTCTCTTTTGTGAAGGGTCTTCTGTTCAAGTCTTTCGCCCATTTTCCTTTTCCATTGTATGTCTTTTTCTTGGTGAATTTTAGGAGTTCTTTATACATTCTGGAATGAGTCCTTTGTCAGACCTATGTGTTACACTATCTTCTCCCACTCTTGAGTTGTCTATTTGCACTGAAATTTTTTTTTTTTTTTTAATCCTCACCCGAGGACATTTTTCCATTTTTTGTTCAGACAGAGTGGGAGGGAGAGAGAGGAACAGAGAGAGAGAGAGAAACATCGATGTGAAAGGAACACATCGAGTGGCTGCCACCCGCACGACTGACCAGGGCCGGGGACAAACTGCAACCGAGGTTCGCACCCTTAGCGGGAACCGAACCCGGGTCTCTCAGGACCACAGGCCGATGCTCTAACCGCTGAGCAAAACCGGCCAGGGCTTGAGTTGTCTATTTGTTCTTAATAGTGTATTAATGAACAGAAGTTCTTAAGTTTAATATATATAATTCATCAATATTTGGAAAATACTGTAAAATTATAATGTATTGAGACAACACTAGCTGGAGTCCATGAGGCATATTTTGTGCTTAGATTAAAGAAGACAGCAAAAAAAGCAGTCTCATAGACTAATTAATTGTGACAAAAATGATCACATTTTAATTTTTATGTTAATACACATATACAATAAGCATTGAATGGTATGACAAATGTATGTTGTTATAACTCAAGATACAAAACAAGCTCTGGCCGGTTTGGCTCAGCGGTTGTACCATCGGCCTGCGGACCAGAGAGTCCCAGGTTTGGTTCCCACGAGTGGCACGTATCAAAATAAAAAGATAAACAAACTATCAGCAGATATTCTGTATGCAAAATGACTATTAGTTGATAGACACTTCTTACATACTGAAATAAAATTCATGTATCTGTCACTCTCTTATGACATGCCTAATATGGCATACTGTTTCTTTTGGTGCTTGGGACAATACCCAACCAACTGAGCCACACCAGCCAGTGGCATACTGTTTCTTAAGGCAGACTATACATACTATCCAATCATTTAAGAACAACTGTATAAATTGTTTAATATGTCATATACACACATATAAACTTTAGAAGGAAACAATTGTTAGCATCGATGATTTTTATAGAACACTATCTGACATCTCACAGAACCTTAGTAGTTTGCAGAACCTAGTTTAAGCAAAGCACAAAGGGATGTGAAAATACATGGTAGTGGAATAGTAGATGAATAGTATTTCCTCATGGCTAGAGAGTAGGGTGCATAGGAGAGAATAAAGGAGTCAAGGCAGAGAGGAGGTGGTGGTAAATGAAGCAGGAGAGATAGGCAAGGATAAGATTTAGACAGTTCTCAAATGCCACTCTAAGGTCTTGAACTCTGTCCTGTATGAACACTGGGAGTGTCACAATAAGACTTGTATTCTTTAAAGTTAGTGATGACAATATGAAGGACAGATTTAATGAAAGGAACTGTTGACAGGGAGATCACGGGCTACAGTAGTAATAAAGGGGAGAAGTGACTATGTCCTGAACCAAGACGGTAGCAATGAGAAAAGGGAAAGGAGGAAACAAATTTGAGAACTCTTTTAGAGAAAATTAATAGAATTTAGTGATTGGCTATGGGATATGAAGGAGAGAGAGAAGCCAAAGATGATTCTACTTCTAGCATGTATGACTGGAGTGATGGCTGATTCATTTGTCTGAGAATGAATCTTTAGATCAGGTTGCAGTCAGGGGTGATAGAGATAAACTGAGTTTGAAGGGTGTATAAAGTGGTCTAGGTGCAGAAGTTCAGAAAATAGAAATATAGAAGTGGGGCTCAGAACAGAAATCAGGACTCAGTCTTCTCTGTATAGGCTATAGCTGAAGCAGTGAGAATAGATGAGATGACCCAAGAAGAGAGAGCTCTGAAAAGAGTAAAGGATTGAAGACAGAATCCTGGGATGGGACCAACATTTAAAGGGCAGATAAACTGGAAAAAAATAAAAGATTGAGAGCTATACGGAGGGACAGGTGAAAAATCAAAAGAAAATAGTATTATGGCAGCTGAGAGAGAAGAGGGAAAGTGTAAGCAAAAGTGTCGAGCACTGACGAGAAGTTACATATAGCACTGAGAAGAGGTGGATGACAGGATGTGCTTGGTGACTTTGGAGGGAGTAGTATAGAATGGATGGGATAAAAGACAGATTGCCATGTGTTCTAAGGATTGTGTGAAAAGGAAGGGGAGATATAATAGAACTCCAGTTTTGCCTCAAATCTATGGATCATTGTGAAATAAATTATATTAGCTTTGAATTACTTGGGTAAAAGTCTCTGCCTCTCTCCTTTGCCTTGTCTGTGATCTAATTGAATGCATCGCTTACAGCCTGTTTCCTTTTGATTACCTATAAAGGTACCACATTAGAAGTCTTGAAAATCGTTCCATCATATCTGTGGTAATGATGTGATGGACTGACCATATTAAAGAATACTAATCTTTTTCATTGTTTTTTTCCAGGAAACAATTTTCCCATCCCAAATTACTGATGAGCGTGAGTCACTGGTAATGGTGAAGAAACTTTTTGCTACTTCTATCTCATGTATAACATATTTAAGGGGGCTGTTTCCAGAGAGCTCTTATGGAGAACGCCATTTGGAAGGTAAAGTTCAACTAAATGGTTACGTTGGCTGTTGTAGCCCTTTTCTCTATTCAGCAGAAGTAAACCTTTAATTTCTCACAGAGTGTGCTAATTCCAAATCATGGGCCTGTTCTTCAAGAACAATTTCCTAATTCATTTTTCGTTTTAATTTCACTATGTTTAGGTGTTTTACTTAGTTCCTGGCTAGATACCAAATGACAGACTGAGGAGAAAAGAAATCTGTATGGACAAGCCCAATAATTCTAAACTATACCTATAAAAGCAGCAGCCAGATCAGAATCTGTTTGGATGCTATGGATTTGCATTGTTTTGTACCCCAATTGAATTTGTTCTTTAAATTATACTTTGGCATTGAGGAAGTTTAATGGAGCCAGGTGAAAAACTCTTCTTCCTATTAACATATATGTAAATATGCTGTAAAAACCAAACCCATTTGTTGATTAGCATGGATATTTAGACAATCATTGTTCTAATCAGCTTTAGTCCTTTCTCAATTGCCAGGTCCTCAATTTTCCTTCCTTTTATTTCTTTTCTTTGGGTATTTTTTATTTATTGATTTGAGAGAGAGAGGGAGGGAAAGAGAGGGAGAAACATCAATTTGTTGTTTCATTTATTTTTGCATTCATTGGTTGATACTTGTATGTATGTGCCCTGATCCAACCCGCAGCTTTAGTATATTGGGATGACACTAAACAACTGAGCTATCTGGCCAGGGCCTTTTTGTTTCTTGTGTCCTTAAAGTTATGATCTCATTTTCACATATTACAAGCCGTTTCTCTGGCTCCTTTCCTTCTGTTGAATTAAGAAAAAAAAAAAAATGTGCCTAGGACTCCTCAATTTTTCAAAATCTTATTATTTGTTTAAAAAGTTGGATTGTGAAAACAATTCAGAAAATCTTGCTGATTTGTTACTAAAGTGGGAACTATCATTTGACAAGTAATTGCCCAGCTCTTCCTCTTGGGAACATGCCCATGCCTTCTTCCCTCTCAGGTGTGTATCCTTACTTTTCTCTCCTAAACTCTAAAGGTCTCCATGAGACTTGCAACCAGGGGAGCAGTGGGCAGTGGCAGCTCGACCCAGGCTTACCCCCTGATCTTTGTCTCCGTGGCCCCTTTTCTCTAACTTTCCAGTGGCTAAAAATAGCTCAATGTTGGCTCATTTCTTTCCTATAACATTTCTAGAGAGCCAAAGTAGCCTCGCCTAGGCTTTCTCCTGTTGCTTCTATCCTAAGTCCTTTCTTGTTTCACTGTCTCAGTTTTAATAAACATACTCTGAAAATAAAAAATAAAATAAACAGAGAGGACTACAAGTGTCCTTGTAACATAACTATTTTTAAAAATCTAACTTTACTTTCAATGTCTTATATCTGTATTTAATTATATACCTTGACCTCGTTCCAATTTAATTTTTTAAAATATGTTTTTATTGATTTTTTTAGAGAGAGAGGAAGGGAGAGATAGAAACATCAATCGGTTGCCTCCTGCATGCCCCCTACAGGGGATCTGGCCCACAACCTGGGCATGTGCCCTGACCTGGAATTGAACCAGGACCACTCAGTCCATGCGACGACACTTAATCCACTGAGCCACACCGGCCAAGCTCAATTTAATTTTATTAAACAACATTTTACTCTCTACATGGGCATCAATGAAATACTTGTATGCTATAAACACAAAAGCAAGATATTTATAAGTATGAGAACCTCACATGCATTATGTCCTTTCTTTTTGGTTTATTGGATATAAATCTATAATAGTAAATATGCTTATAGATAGCACATAATTATAGTTTCCCCTTTTGTTTAGAACATAGAATTGGAAAAAGACATGTTTTGGGTAGTTAACTGTTAAAAAACAAAATTTGAAGATCTAATTGGCTTTATTGAGTAACTCATAAATTGGGCAGCATCCCATCCAGCATCTGGAAGAGTACTCTGAGGGGTTGTACAAAGTGGAAGCTATTTATAGGAAGAAGGGTGGAGCAAGGACGCTATTAACAAACAAAAGAATGGATTATTTTTTGTACCAGACATCTTTTCTTTGGGGGACGATAATGGGAAGGGTTTTTATCATGAAGATTGTCTCTTCTTTCTGTGGAGGATGGAGAGGGCCCATAGTGACAGATTACCTTACTGATGCTTGACCAGAAAATTTTATACTGGCTGATTAAGATTATATTTCTGGGAGAGATTAAAACTGCATTTAGATCTAGTATTAAATCTAGGTTTGGTATCATGGACTTTTAGTACAATTGACTTCATTTTAGGCCTGTGGTTTTTTTCTTTAACACAATTAAGCACTTATTGTGTGCCAGTCATTACTCTAGGCATGGAGGTTGGGAGTAGGGTAATACCATTCCTATAGCTTTATTTTTTGTGACAGTTTTTGTCTCCCTCTCAATGTTTGTACTTAAAGTAGCATGCATCATAAAAATGCTCAATACTCCTATGTCATTCTCTTTTTTTGTAACCCTTAAATGTTATAAGAACATGGAATAATTTTAATATCCCACAATAGAGGTAGAGGTGACATACATTTTAGGATAAGAAAACAATATGAAAAGGTGAAGTGACATATGCAAAGTCATATATGAGTCAGTGATTGATTTTGGACTGATCTAAACTAAAACTCTTTTTATACAATTTTCTATTCTTCCCTGTGTCGACATAAGAATGTCCAAACCTCCAACAATGAGAAAAAAAATGCAAAATAAATTTTTAAAAAGAAAAAGAAAACAAAAAACAAAACAAGCCATTTGACCCAGTGATCCCACTTCTAGGAATATATCCTAAGAAGCCCGAAACACCATTCAGAAAGAATATATGTATCCACCATGTTCATAGCAGCACTATTTACAATAGTTAAGATCTGGAAACAGCCCAAGTGTCCATCAGTAGACAAATGGATAAAAAAGCTGTGGTACATATACACAGTGGAGTTGTTATGCAGCTGTAAGAAAGAAAGATCTCCTATCCTTTGAGACGATGTGGAGGGACCTGGAGAGTATTATCCTAAGCGAAATAAGCCAAGCAGAGAAAGACAAATATCACATGATCTCACTTAATTGTGGAATATAATTAATATAACAGTCTGAGGAACAGGGTAGATAGACTCAAAGATGTGGAAGTAGGGTACAGACCCACAGCCCTCAGAAGAAGGGGTGGGGGTGGGGAGGAGATAAACCACAGAACTTATATGCCTATACACATAACTGATGGACATGGACAACAAAGCTGGGGTGGGGGTGGGGGGATGGGGAGGAGGGTGTCAGTGGGGAAAAAAGGAGAAACATCTGTAACAAAAATAAATTAAAAAAAAAGAAACAAAACAGAAGAATGTCCAAACCTATAGATAATTTTTATAAGAGTTTATTTGAGTCAAAATGACAGCATGCTGGAAAGCAAGATCTCAAATGCTCTGGAGAATGACAGTTTTGCAATTTCTTTTACACATCAGGAATTAAGGGAACATGAGGAAGATTACATGAAGGTGGGAGAAAGCAAGGCAGGAAATTTCTATGATAGGATTACAGGATAGTTAACCACTCTTGAGAGTGGTTAGGTCTTTAGGGGTCTGGAAAAAGGATTCCTCTGGCATTTCAAAGGTGTGTTAACCTAAATGCACAAGAACAATGGACAAGGCTTGCTTAAGATAAACCTTTTATTAAAGAAATTATATACCTGGGGTTTACTTACCCACCATGACCTGCCCAATTAGGAATTTATGATCATGTTAATGAAGGGGAAAAGGCCTGGTCTCCTCTGGCTAGTGGGGGTAGACTTGGATAACCTGAGAAAAGGAATTTTCTGAGACCCATAAGGGAAAATGAGGGATTTTTATTTGCAAGAAATTAAATCCCTGAGTTTCCAAAGTTCCATTGCCCTTAATCCAGTCATAGAAGTGTAGCTAGTACTTCAGTAGAGCTAAAATCAGAGCAAGGGGCCAGGGTTTCCATACCATGTTGGAGCCGGGTGCAGTCCACATCAGGCTAGCTTAGCTTGTGTTTCCCTGCTGCAGTTCATTAGTTCATTGCATGTGGGGTCCACAAGAGAGACCGAACTCCTTTGTTTAGGGGATTATGTATTCCCAAATTTTTGCCTGTTTGTAGTGGCCACACCCATTTTGGTCAACCATCTTTGTCCACAGGTTTGACTGACAGGCAAGTACTTTTCCTTTGTTACCCCAACTTTACTGGGCATGCGTCTATCTTTCCTTTGTTGGGTCCTTTTCCCCAGTGTTTTTGCAGGGAATAGGCTAGTGGTTCCCTGGGGAGTGTAAATTTGTAGCTTCCTGGTGAAGCTGCCCAAATTACATGCCTTTAATGTCTGGCCTTCCCTTTGCTTCTTTCCTATTAATAACTAGCTAATTACAAGGATATCAATCAGATCACCCTATGAGGTTACTTTTAGTCACTGGACTTGTCAAATGTATTATAGAGCTGCTTTTTTTGTTCACACCTAACTATAAGGTAGTTGAATTTCAGATGGAAATCAATATTTGAGAATAATCTGTGGGAAAATATTTATTTGTTTTGTCACTGATAGGAAGAGAAATATCAGAGAAGTGACTTGAGATTGAGGTGTATGTCTTAAATTGGTTAATGAAGATGGTCTCAATATTACCTTATGATTACTTAAAATTCAACAGAAGCGCCCTGGCCCGTTTGGCTCAGCGGTTAGAGCGTCGGCCTGCGGTCCAGAGAGACTCGGGTTCTGTTTCCGCTAAGGGCAAGTACCTCGGTTGCAGTTTGTCCCTGGCTCTGGTTGGGTCATGTGGGTAGCAACCACTCATTGTGTCCCTTTCATGTCGATGTTTCTCTCCCTCCCTCCCTCCCACTCTATCTGAACAAAAAATGGAAAAATGTCCTTGGGTGAGAATAAAAAAAAAAAAAATTTTCAACAGAAGCAAAGAAGTGACACAAATTGATTTTGCAAGCAATTTAGTTGTGCTACTGTTGGGAATGAAAATTTTTTCTTCTACGCTTCTAGATTCCTTGAATTGTCTAATAATTAAATTGACATAAGATTAACATGAGAAAAACAAATTTAATTTTGTATATACAGGTGCCCTATGCAAATATGAGAGCAAAGGCAGTCAGGCAATTAAGGCTTATATGCCATCCAGAGCTAAGGAATGGGATAAGGGCCTGGGAGTTTCAAAGAGAAGTAGGGCAATTCACAGGAAGATAAGAGGAGCAGGTGTTTGGTTGTTAGATATTTTCCCTGTTATGAAGATAAGTCTTTCAGATAAAAAGTTATCGCTAATAGCCCTGGCCTGTTTGGCTCAGCAGTTAGAGCCTCAGCCCAGAGGACTGAAGGGTCGCAAGTTTGATTCCAGGTCAAGGGCATGAACCTGCAACCTTCCCAGTCAAGGGCACATACTTGGGTTGCAGGTTCAATCCCTGGTCAGATTTGTGAGGGAGGCAACCAATCTATGTCTCTCTCACACATCAATGTTTCCCTCCCCCTCCCTTCCACTCTATCTAAAAATCAATGGAAAAATGTCCTTGGGTAAGGATCCCCCACCCCTCAAGTTCTCTCTGATAATAGCTCTCTTTCTGGGCCAGGCCCTCTGTCTAAATTCTTTTAATCAGTTAAAGGAAAGGTAAAAGTTTACCTTGAGTCAGCTGGGTCTTGATTACCATCAGCTCCAAATAATCCACATATGATTTATTTTTAGATATTTAGAGATTCCAAATATTTTTATAAGCTATAAAACTAAGTTATATAAATAAAATAGTTAAAGGAAATACCTTTATTTAGAATGGACAATTTTAGTACAGCAGTCATTTATTGAAAATAGACTTTGTTTCTATTTTTGTAGACCTCAGTTTAAGAATCCTCCGAGAAGATAAAAAATGTCCTGGGTCACTGCATGTTATCAAATGGTAAGTAACTGAAATTTTACAGAAGTTAAATGTTATTTTTATCATGCCTGAAATTACCCATAAGACTTTATTTGGTAACATCATTTCTTTAAAACAATTTCTGTCTTTTATTTAAAACAATAATTTTCTATAAATTTGTAACAATTATTCAGTGTTATTTTAAGATACTGATTTGGTGTTGTTTGTGTAGTAAATAGACTTCTATAAAAAAAGAAAAATACCAAACAATATTTGATTACTCATCATAGGCATGTCAGTGTCCTAAATAGTATGGGAGCCAACAAGAAAAATAAGATGTGATTCTGTACCTCAAAATTACTTACCTATTATTTATAAACTTCTATCAACATATTAAAAGATAGTGAGAGTTTTAAAAATTGATTAAATGGGAAAGGTAAATGATTATCAATTTAATGTACTTCAAAGCAAAAAAATGTAAATTCTGTACTTGGAATTTTTTTTGGCTTTGCGTCTAGTTCAAATTGACATCAACATTTATTTCTTGACAGGATTCAAGGTTGTTTTGATGCTATGGAAAAGAAATACGTAAGAATTTTTTAACATTTACACTAGGATCAAAGACTTATCTTTTATCCCTTAAAAAAAGTTTAGCCTTTATTTTGTTGTGTTTTAACACTGTACCAGTGCATACATTTGCATTCATGAACAAGTTTCTTTTTATTTTATGTCTTTGTTGTCCCATTGATGTCTCATTTACATCAACTAGAAACCCTCATTTTTCTTTTTTACATACTCATATATATTTTGACCACAGAATTTCCTCTGAAGTCACTGGAAGAGATCCACAGGATGTGGGAGAGGGGCGACAAGAATCTGGCATTTTAGCACATTGAGCATGTTCAAAATAGTAGCGATTCAATGTGCAGATATGAAAGGCAAAAATGGATTTAAATAATCCGTTTTTATCCTGTGTTGGTTATTTTGTTAACTATGTTTGGTGCATATATATAAACCTGTTCCCTCAAAATAGCTAGTATTGTAGCTCAAATTTTTTAGAAATGCAGCTTAAATTTTAAGTGCATCAGATCTTTCTTGCTGCCCAAGACAGCTATAAGGGTGTAAAAATTAGAGGCTCTAGTCCTAGTTGAAAAGACAAGATATATATAAATCAACTTTCTATCACTGCTTCCCCCCCCTTTTCTTCATCTGTGTCTTCTTTTTACTCCTCAATTTCTGTTTCTTTAAGAAATCCTGAAGTGAATAAGTCTTACATTGGATTATTTCGTTGCATACGTACATTTTCTTTTTTATTCAGTACTGACCTGGGGAACTGAGGGATACAAAAATGAAACAGATATATGATTGTGCACTTAAAGAACTTACAGACCATGGCAGAAGATAAATGATATTCATACACATGGTTGATCAGTTATTATATACTGGCCCAGCTGTACCTGTTTTTTAAAATATTCTGTATCCAGATGGTAAATAACTGCTTCTCTGAGATCCCAAATGACCTCCACAATGGTCTCCCTCTCACCCCACCAGTAGCTCTTTGGGGATCTTCACAGTCATCTCCACAATCAAGAAACTAAAGGATTAGCAAACCTGGCCCATGGGAGCTTCCAGAAACCCAGCTCCAGGGCTAAATTTTCATCCTTTCTGATTAGTTAGTACCTGTGCCATATTGGGCTGTTAAATACTACCCCCCCCCATATTTTAACTATCACCTCTATCACAAGTATAAGTAACCATAATACTCATCAGAAAGTGATGCATGTCAGAGGAAAGATATGGATTGTGTGTAATGGAAGTATGGAAAAGGAGAGGTTATATACAGTGAGGGGCAAAAGGGAGATCTGTGGGAGAAAATAACTTTTGAGTTTTGAAGTTTTAGATAGAGTAGAAAGGAAGGAAGGAGAGAAACCTCGATGTGAAACCTTGGTGTTTGGATAGGTTGAGGAGGGGGAGAAGGTTATCACCAGCATATTGAGAGGTGCTCATTCATTCTCCTTCATCCATTCATTTAGGGACACTTCCTTTGTGTCCATCATTGGGGGTCAGTACAACATACTTAAGACCTCAAATTTTGGAATCAGTCTTAAGTAAATCCCACTTTTGCCATTTGTGGACATAAAAATGTCCAAACCTGTAGAAAATTTTTATAAGAGTTTATTTGATGTTCTAAGAAAAACAGTTTTGCAGTTTGCTTTTTAACGCATTTGAGATTAAGGAGGGAACTAAGGAAGATTACATGAAGGTTCAAGAGAGCAATGTGGGGATTAGATTACAGGATAATTAAGGAGATTGAGGGTTGTTGTTTCAAAGGTATGTTAATCCTAGATACAAAATAAACAATGAACAGGGCTTGTTTAAGGCAAAGATAAACCTTTTTTAAAATTTTTTATTCCTCACCTGAGGATATTTTTCCGTTTATCATCAGACAGAGTGAGAGGGAGGGAGAGAGAGAGACAGAGAAACATTGATGTGATAGAGCCAAGTGGACTGGTTTCCTCCCACAGGACCTGACCAGGGCCGGGGACAAATCGCAACTGAGATATGTGCCCTTGCCCTGGCCGGTTTGGCTCAGTGGTTAGAGCATCCACCTGCGGTCCAGAGAGACCTGGGTTCGGTTCCCGCTAAGGGCGTGTACCTCGGTTGCAGTTTGCCCCCGGCCCTGGTTGGTTGTGTGGGTGGCAGCCACTCGATGTGTCCCTTTCACATCGATGTTTCCCTCTCTCTCTCCCTCCCACTCTATCTGTGCAAAAAATGGAAAAATGTCCTCGGGTGAGGATTTAAAAAAAAAAAAAGAGATATGTGCCCTTGGCTGGAATAGAACCTGGGTCCCTTTGGTCCGTGGGCTGACGCTCTAACCGCTGAGCCAAACCGGCCTGGGTGGAAATAATGTTTTTAAAATAGTTTGAGTAGCCCTGGCCAGTTTGGCTCAACAGTTAGATCGTCAGCCTGCGGACTGAAAGGTCTTGGGTTCGATTCCCAGTCAAGGGCGTGTTGTACCTGGATTGCAGGTTTGATCCACTGCCCCGGTCCGGGGCGCATGTGGGAAGCAACCAATCTATGTGTCTCTTTCACATCGAGGTTTCTCTCCCTCCTTCCTTTCTACTCTATCTAAAAAAAAATCGGTGGAAAAATATCCTTGGGTGAAGATTAACAACAACAACAACAAAAAGATGTTCCATTGAAGATGATGATTATTTCTGGTCAAATTTGGGATGATTTTTAGTTTTCTTTGTTTATACATGGTGGAGCACAACTGTACTATGCAATTGTGAATACGTGACACACAGTTTATTCTTGTATTATTATTAATTATTGTATTATTTTCCCTATGAACAACTGTAGACCTACTTTTGTCCCACTTTGTGTTATGCTTGGTTTCTTTAAAATAAGCATGCAGCCCCTGGCCAGTTTGGCTCAGCGGTTAGAGCGTCGGCCTGCGGTCCGGAGAGACCCGGGTTCGGTTCCCACTAAGGGCATGTACCTCGGTTGCAGTTTGTCCCCGGCCCTGGTTGGTCGTGCGGGTGGCAGCCACTCGATGCGTCCCTTCACATCGATGTTTCTCTCTCTCTCTCCCTTCCTCTCTCTCCCTCCCGCTCTATCTGTACAAAAAATGGAAAAATATCCTCGGGTGAGGATAAAAAATAAATAAATAAATAAATAAATAAATAAATAAATAAATAAAATAAAATAAGCATGCAGGATGATGGTGGGCAGGACCGGAGGGAGGGTGAGTATGTGAGAGAGTGAGCTAGTCTGTGAGAGAGTGTGAGTGGATGTGAAGGTGGACGATCAAACTCCTGCAGTGCAGAGACGTGGAGCAGAAGGTTCCTGTGCTGTGGATGGGAGCAGCCAGCTACCACAGTAAGCGGCTCTTCAGGGTGCTTCTCCCTGCGCTACAGGGGGGCCCCACCATGTTGAAAGATCTCGGGTCTTCCCTGGGAGGAGGCAGTGGGAGCGGCTAGGGCCCAGCAATCTGAGCCCACCAGCGCACCTGACACCATTGGACCATGGGACACTTTATCAACACAGACCAGTGCACAGTAGTGGAGCTCCCAAGGTGCTGTTCGCAGAAGCCACAAACAGTCTGGAGCCCAGCACCATCCCCTACAGTAGCAGCCCAATCAGAGTTGAGATATACCCCCAGCAACAAAGGCTGGGGAGCAGACATCCATTCCCAGGCAACAGAATCACAGACCAGCAGCTGAGACCCATCCCCAAAAACTACAGCAAAAGCTGAGCAGGAGTTGAGCCCCACAGGGCAGAAGCACTCCCCAGCCACCAGTGGCGGGACCTGGGGCTCTACAGAGGCCTGTGTGGTCCAGCAGCTCACAAGAGCAGTGGAAAGCTAGAGCCCGAGAGGGACTTGTGTGATCCAGCTGCCCGCCCACGGGACCCCCAGGGTGCGGGGACACCAGAGAAGCCTGTGCAACCCAGCAGCCCTCAAGATTGGTGGGAAACTGGAGCCCAAGAGGCACTGGTGCCATCCAGCTGCCTGCCCACAGGACCTGCAGGGTGTGGGGGCACCAGAGAGGCCTGTGCAACCCAGCAGGGACTGTGCGATCCAGTTACCTGCGGGACCTGCAGGGTGCTGAAGCACCAGAGAGGCCTGTGCGACCCAGCAGCCCATAACATAGGCATAGAGCCGGGTCCCAAAAGGGACTGTGCGATCCAGTTACCTGCGGGACCTGCAGGGTGCCGGGGAACCAGAGAGGCCTGTTCGACCCAGCTGTGCACAAGATATGCATAGAGGATGTAAAAATGGAGGTGGAGTGAATGGAAGCTACACAGACGATCTCCCAGGACCAAACGAGAATTAATACTTAAAATAAAGACAAATCCTTGGAAAAAAGGCAACAGAAAAGCAGCAGGACAGGACCTTATAACTAGGGACACTGGTAGGATCTGCAGAGGTGCAAGAGGTTGGCGGGCTGGTAGCCCATGGACTGTAGCATTCTTAGCTGTGAGCAGCATCCTTGGGGAATAAAGACCAAGCCTGCTCCACAGCGCAGAGAGCCAGGAGAGAGCGCTAAAATAGCCACAGCCACTCACCTGGGGGCTACAGCAGAGGGAGGGCAGATTGGGTTTGAACTCTGTGGGGACAACTGGGATTTGGAGGACACTCAAAGTTTTTGCTGAGTTGTGGCCACAAAGGACAGTGGCCAGTGTGCTTCTTTCCAGAGCTGTGGGGGAAAGCAGTCCCCGCAACCCCAGAGATTCAGCCTTTCTTAGGTGAGGCAAAGAAATGCAGATTGAGGCTCATTAACAACCAGCATCTATAGACTCACCCTCTGGAAATCCTCTTACGCAGAACACCAGGGCTACATTCCAAGGCACTGAGTAACTAAGACTACTAGCCTCCAGGAAAAAGCTAGAGAATAACTGAATTTTTCCTAGGTTTGCAAATCTACCCAGGAAAGTAAGACTTGACAGTGGTGTTTAATGTGGGCCCACACAGGCTCATCCAAACCCAGTAGAGGGAGCCACAAACAGCAGAACATCAACACCCACATGGAAAATTTGGCAGGCTCCAAAACCCACTGAGATAGCCAAATTGGTGAAACAAAGAA